ACTACTTCTCCGGTTCACTCGCGCCTCTCCCGCCGCCGCCGCTGCGCTCCCCGCGGAGGCAGCGCGGGTCGGGCGCGGAGCCGTCCCGCTCCGGCCATGGCCTAGCGGCGGCGGCCGGGCCGCAAGATGAGTTTCCCGGCGGAGGACGGCGTGGGCAGCCTGTGCCACAAGGCGCTGCAGATCATCTCGGAGCTRTGCCTGGGCGGGCAGGTGGAGCGGGAGAAGTGCGCCGGCATCTTCCCCTTGGAGAGCGCCCGGCAGGGCATCGGCGGCGCAGGTACCGAGAGCTCCGGGCTCGTCCTGCCGCCGCCGCCGCAGGGCGGACAGCGAGGCGTGGGCGGCCGGAGAGCGCAACTTTTTCCTTTGCTTTCCCTGAGTGCGGAGGGGGCGGAGAGGGGGGACAGGCACGCTTTAAAATCCGCTCCGTCTCGCAGCCCGCCGCGGCTGCCGACGAGCGCCGGGAGCGCTGCGGGCTAAACGGGGTGCGGGCACGGGGAGCGCGGACGGGGACAGAAATCGCCGCCGGCTGCAGCCCCCGGAGATGGCCCCGTACCCGCTCAGCTCTCTCGTTTGCCGCCCGCAGCTCCGCTCCGGCAAGGTTTTCCCCACGACGGGAGTTTCTCCGTACGGAAAGCTCGACCCCGGTGCTGCCGCGCGTTTTTGCGGGGCCGTGCGTGCGGGGAGCGGGGCTGGGCTCGGTGTTCTTGTTACGGGTGGGATGCTCTCTCTCGCCCTCTCCCTCGTCCCCGGCCGTCCCTCTGCGTTCGGCGTGTGGCACTTGCGGTCCCGGCAACAGGTTGGGCGGCGGGGAGTGCGGGCAGCGGGTTCGGGGAGCGGCCGGGGCTCGGAGAGCAGCCGGAGCTCCGAGCGCAGCTCGCCAAGTCCCGGCTCGCAATCTCCGCTTTCTGAGCCTTTTGCATCCTCTGCGCTCATCGCTGGGGGCGACAGGAGAGCTGTCTGACAGTCGGGGGTAACCTGTGGAGTCAGGGCAGAACTTCTCTCCGGTCCAGGACACTTGCCCAGGAAAATGTAGGTAGGGTGGAAGGAGAAAATCCGGGTTAATTTAAACGTTCCGAAGCCAGAAAAATTGTCGTATTGAAACTAAGATTTTCAGTGTTAATGGTAACAGTGGTATCTTTGATCCCTGATTTCTGGATTTTCTGCACCTTTTGGAAGCAGCTCTGCACTTTTGCATCATCCTGTGCAGTGCTCTTTGGACACCTTGCTTTCCTTGGCGCTTATCTGTAGGATGGGGCATGAAAATCACTCGAAGTTCTGTGCTTAATTTCTGCCAGAAGGGGTTGATAACCTCTACTGTCTGTCCATAAATGCAAATGAACAGCTTGCATGACGGCTGGCAAATGCCAAGTGTAACAGTGCAAATTAAATRTATTAACACCAGGTCATGTAAAGCAGCAGGTTCTCAGCGTGTGCCCCAGCCGCTCTGTCGCTGCCACTGCAGCTGATTTTTTTGTTGTTGTTTGTTTTCCTTTCACTTAACACCCACAGATTTTGCCTCTGATCTCGGGTTATTTGTAGTATCTCAGATCAAAATCGCTGTTGCCTGACCCTGCCCWGCTCAGCCCAGCCCGACTCAGCCACCGGGGCAGGGCAGCAAGGTGAGGGGGGTGAGGGGGCTGCAGCTCTTCCCCCAGCACAGATAATGAATATTCTGACCATGCACTGTGTTAGACTTCATGGTGTGAATGGTAGAAGGCTGAATGGAAGTAGCCTTACTCTATGCAGCCTGGAAAATTTGGCTCTGCAAAGTTAATGCATGAGCACCTGGGATATGAAGGACACCAAACATGCCACGAGGTGAACCAGGACCTGCTGTTTAGAAAACGTGAATGTTCAACACTTGATTCTCTATTGCATTGTGTATAATAAGAGGAGCTTATTTTTAACCATTTCTTGAAAGTCAATGATCTTCTTCGGTTTCTATTTGTAAACCTTAACTCTCTTACAATTACTGGATTAGGAAAAAAACAGTTAACTGACCACATGCTGGAGCCACTGGGCACCACATCTCAGCTGAATTCCTGAATCTCACTTTTTCCTCCTTAAAAGGAWAGCAATATTAGATGATGGGTGTCAACTTTATTGAGATGCAGAGAATGCTGAGCATTGCTAATGAACATATATTAATAYTCTGTCTCTAGAGGAGGAGCACACACACTGTCTTTGTTGATAATTGGCAATATTTTAATATGCAAACACTTGGGTAGAYGAGATACATTTATAACTTTCATCARTTTTRTGATGAAAGATTCTAAATAGGGTTTAGGCTGAGASAAGTGGTGTCATTGAAAGGTGAGCCATGCCATGTCTCTTCTGCTCTTCAAACACACACAGAGTTCCTTATCACCTCTGTGGAGAAAGCCAATGCTGTCCAGAGCGTTGAACAATCATAGATACTCTTCATTAAAGGTAGAAATGTTAAGTTCATTTGGTTTTCCTCAACCCAAAAAGATCCCTAAAAGTGTCACAGAGGTAGTTGGGTAAAAATCAGTAATGTCACTAAAGAAAAGAAGTCTAAAGAGCACCAAGCCTGRCAGAGCTCAAGAAGTGTTTGGASTCTCTCAGGCACATGGGGTGACTCTTGGGGATGGTCCTGTGCAGGGCCAGGAGTTGGACTCGATGATCCTTGTGGGTCCCTTCCAACTCAGAATATTCTGTGACTCTATAAACCATGAGGAGATACTTATTTGCAAAGGAAAGAGCAGTGCAAGTGCAATCCCTCAGAAAGTAAAAGAATAGATGGTAAAAAGGAAAGCAGAGCATTTAGATTAAATACAAGAATAAAAACATGCTCTGGAAGTTGAAAACACTGTGAAATGCAACTAGAAGTGCATTTTTATGGTGATGTTGGTGAGTGTGATGATARCTTTCTGTTCAGACCATGAAAAGCAGCCAAGCTTCTCTGGGGAATCAGCTCCTCGAGGCAGAAAAAGCATCACCCAATCACAGGCTCAAAGCAAAATATGAGACAATATTGACCCCGTGACCCAAGAAGTCTCAGAGGGAAGCAGAGAGGCTGGGCAGTGATTTTTTGATAGTGTAGATGTCTAGATAGGAGAGAGAAGCATTAAAGAGATACCACAAACAAACACAAAGAAGAGGAAGCTGGAGACACAGAACAAAAAATTGTGAGTATGGCTCTGGGAAGGCAGAGTATACCAAAATGAAGCAAAAAAAAAAAAAAAAAGAAAAGGGAGATATTCAGGTTTCCTGCCAATGAAACAACAATCGAAGAAATGACTGATTATTCAACAGGTTTGTTCCTCTCAGTGACAGCACCAGCACCTTAGGACCCTCAATTACTGCTCACTACTTGGGTCAATAAGAGCTAATCACATTTAGTAATAAATGATAGAACCCATAGCAAAGAATCTTCATGAGACAGATAATTCTCTAAATTTCTAAGAACTTTAGACAGTTAGTGAATATAGACATCTGTTGCTGTATTTTCTGCCCCAGTAGCTGCAAGAACTATTAATCTTCTCATCCCAGGGGAATGCTCAAGTGGAAAGATTAGGAAGCTGTTTACATTTATGGTACCTCTGTTTGATTAGATGACTGTGAGCTTTCTTCTGAAAGTTATGACATTTTTGGCAAAATGCTCAWTTAGATGTGCAGCTGTTTTGTTTTTATTTTGCACCTCCAGTACATCTGGGCAAAATAATTAAGATGTCAATTATAACAGTTCAGGTGGAAAATAAATGGGAGCTGGATGYGCAGGATTTCACATAATAAAATTTATCTCTAAACTTAGTAAATCATTAATTTTCTGTAACTGTCCCAAACTCATCTATTCAGTGTGGTTACACTGCTATCTTGGCTCAGGTTTTCTCATTAATAAAGGACTCTAATTAATTTTTCCAGCTAAGCATTCCTCCTCATTTTCAATGGAACCAAGCACATCAAAGGTCCCAGTTGTGAGCATTTCTGAAGATTAAGCCAATTGCATACAGCATAATGAGGAGTTTGGACATTCTGCTCTAGGGACACATGCTTAAAATTCATTTTATGTCCTCTGAAAATGGTGGGTACTTTGTGCTGTCTTTGCCTTTTTTTAGGCCTGCTGGTCATGCAAAACTTTACTCTCTCATTATCAGGTCCCATGGGTGACCAGTGTTTATTACAGAGCTGCAAACCCAGCTGCTTCCCTGGCAGGAGGGAATTTTTTAGCCCACTGGAGTGGGTAGAGAATATCTCRAGAGTGATGTTCACTCTTGCTCCTTTCCTTGTCAGACAATGGATTTTTTCATGTTGACCGTGCAAAGAGCATCAGCTTCTAGGGGATCATTTTTTTATTCATCTTAATACTCTACTTACAGTTTTTTTWATTAACATGGGAGTTAAATCTACCAAGTTTTTAACCCTACCCCTGAYTGATGGCTTGCTGTAGAAGTACAGAGGGGTAAGAAAACACTGGAGCACCCTACCCACGGCCATGCTGCAATAGAAAATCACTCTTCCAGGCAGAGCAATGTCTTGTGTCCTCCTGCTGTAGCTGGCACGAGTCTCCTGTTGGTTTTCAGAAGCTTTCCTGACAGCTCTCAGCCTGCTGGATGGCCACTGAGGGTTTCCATTTAGTCCACGTTCCTTTGAACATGCCTGTGTTCATGGATAGGGTGAGCTGTGGCTGTTTAAAATGCTGTATATGTTTAGGAAAAGGGGAAGAGCAGGTTTACCCCATGSAGTGCTGGTAAATTCTTCTCAACTGTGCCAAAGTCAGAGTGAAGGGGGCAAGAAATGGCTTGAAAGAATGTGAAGTCAGTGTAGGACTGTCAGACAAGAAAGGAACATTTTCCTCCATGGTAAAGTAACTTGAGTGAAGCAAGGAGCATTCTGTTACAGAKAAATGAAACTGAGCTACAGGGAAATGAGAGAAAATCAAATTATAAACATTTTAACAATTAACAGACCAACCAAATTATTTACTGCACAGTCCATCAGCTGGTTGGATCAATGCTACTAGGCAGAGAAGCAAGGCTTGGTGGGAAAAAAGTGCAGTTTCTGAAAAACATAACTCACAAAATCCATGTTAACAAGCTGTGAAAACCAGAAATGCATCTAATTCAGCAGTGYAAAGGCAAAACAGAGGGGTAAACGTACCACTGAGACCAGATTTATTTACAGCAAATGTGAAGGCAGTCACAACAATGCAGACAGCAGAGATACACAGCAAAAAGGTTTGCAAAAAGAATCTTCCTCTATAYACATTTTATAAAGAAATACAGGGGTGGAGGGGAAATAGAGAAAAATTTATGC